ACAAAATTTTGAGGTCCAAAATTCTCCAAGCCAGAAGGGACGAGGGGTTAACACGTTTAAAAATCAAAGTTTTACAGCTTCTTTTCTTGATTTCCAGAGTCTAACCAAAGTACCTGGACAGATTTTCTCTAATTTGGTGGCTCCCCTGTTCCACGTGTTGTTGGCGTATATGAACGTGTTAAAGTGAACAAGAAGCCTTGCATAGTTCATACCGTTTAGGCTAGAGAGTTTCAAACGGTAACTCTATCTATGCCCACGCTCAACATTACAACGTGGAAGTGAGTCGCCGGACACTCCGAGTCACCGATGGAAATTGGAAACTAGCGGGAGCAAAAGAGTTAAACGAAGACAGGTGTTATTTTCGAGAATTACGTGGTCCCGACCAAACCATAGACTTGTGGACAGTGAAAGGATAGAGTTAGCGTGTGCATGCTTGTGAGATGCTCCGCGCTTGAACAGTCACACTCTTAACAAGAGCTTGTAGAAGTTACGGGGAAAATATCTTTCAATTCAATTCATCAACATTGTGCGAAAAATATGGCTGTTTGTTTTCGAGAATAGAGCTTGACAGAAAATAATGATGCCTTGCGGTTTTATTAGCATACGCAAAGAAACCTATTGTGTGATTAAACTAACATGGTGATGAACTTTATGAAGTCTCGTGGCGTCTCATAGAGAGCAGGAATTAATTAAAAGCGGTGCTCATGTTTGGGAGGCGAGAGAGAAAATGACAGGCAGGAGATAAAATTTGAATGGGGGCATTTCACATGGTTTAAGCAAGTAGTAACCAGTAAGGACGCAGCTAGACTTGGACTTTTCTATGCAGGCAGAGAAGGGAATGGGAATGCTAGTATCTATTATTTGCTATTATTTATTAATAAATAAAAAATAAAATAATTAATATATATATATATATGTATGAATTTTGTGTGTGCATTAAATGATGAAATGATAGATGTTATTTATATATTTGTGTTTTATATTAATATTAAGATATGCAAGCGCGTGAGAATATTCCTGTGTTCCTGAACCGTGTAAGCAATAAATAGGTTCTGTTCTGTCTGAAACTTGCAACTCTGTCTTGGTAATAAAGCTAAAAGCTAAGCTATAGCTCATACATGTCTGTGGCATACATGGTCAAGCAGACGTAAAGTCCTAAATCCGTAAATCGTATGCACACGTCCACCGTCCACCGTCCACCGTCCACGCCAGTGCTATACCAGACCACCCTACGGTCTGCGCGTGAGATTGGTTGAGCTTGATTGCTTAGCCTTTGGTTCAAAATGGGCTCTCAACCCATGCTCACTTGTTAAGCCCAGATCAAGCAAGCGAGCAGCTCAAGTATACATTAATTAACTATAAGCTAAAGAGAAAGGGATTTAACTGTACCCTCTTACTATTTATTAGAACAGGTACTGTGCTTTTTTTCTTTTTCTTTTTCTTTTGGTTTCTTTTTTTTATTATTTTTTAATAGTATATTTATTTTTTATTAAACTATCACTTTTTAATATTATATTTATTTTTTATTAAACTATCATACGCTCGTTACATAAATCACAGTTTAACAGGTTAATTTAATTTAGTAAGTTAATTTAGTTGATTTTGTAGTTTTTTAATTATTTTTTAAAACATTTATCATTTAATATTAAATTAATTGAAAATTAGATTTTATAACTTGTTTGGTTAAATTTCTATTATGATATTTCAACGTCATGGCTTAAGAATAGTGTTTAAATCGTTAAATCGAGTAGGCTCAAGTTGTTTTTTGTGTCTTATTTTTAAATTTTATTATTCAACATTGATTTAGTAAAGAATTGAGTTTCATAATATATTTTGATTTATTTTTTATAAGAATATCTTAATCTTATAATTAAGGTTGTTAACTTTAACATTTTAATCACGATTAAATCATGTTGTTTTTTATTTTATTTTTTATAACCGAATCGTGAATTAACAGGTTAACTCTAGTTGCTTTTTAATTTTTTTAATTGATTTTTTTTAATTTTTTAAATTTAATATTAGTTGATTAAGAATTATACTTTATAATTTATTTTAATTTATTTTCTATCGGTTATTATAGTCTCATAATCTAAGTTAACCCAGGTAAATTCAATATATTATTACCTTAACATTAAAAAAATCTATTTTGATTTTTTTAGTTAAACTATATTTTAGGGTTATATCAGTGAACCGTCTTTCAATTTAATTTTTTTATAAAAAAATTATTAATAATATCTAAATATTTTTTATATTCAAGAAAAATCTAACTTAATTAACAGCATAGCAGGGATAAAAGATATAGTCCTCCTGTCCTGTTTGCATAGAAAAAGCTAGGTTCCAGTCTCAACTTCTCTTGATTTTAATTTTAATTTTAATTTTCCCCTGTTTTTAGTAACAGGGGGTGGTTGGATCATGGACGGGATGGGCTTTCAGGCTTCAGCTTCAACTCAGGGCTGGCAATGGCATGCTGGCATCCCCTTCCTGTTTCGCGTTCCATAAACATCTGAAGAAATTTTATGCCATTATCAAGTTAAAATCTTCATATAATCAATAATAATATTGATAAATAAAAAAAAGTATATAGTCTGTAAATAAAATGTCTTCTTTAATTGTACCCCGTCCCTTCTGAATTTTAGGCGTGACCAATCAAATTTTTTAATTTTTTTTTTAATTTTTCTAACCAGAAATATATTCTATAAAAAATCTTATTTTTGACACATAGATAAATAATAAAACGACGCCGTTGGCAGTGGGATAATGGTTAACACTAAACACATCATTCCAGCATCAGTTCCCCTAGCAAAACTAAAAAAGCCTTTCGGGGCCTAGACAGCTTCAGTTTCCAGCAAGAAGAAAGGACAACCCGAGCAAAAGAAGCAATTTCACACTTCCAAGCTAAGCTCGCACGCACGCACTTATTCAAGAGAATCGAAAAGGAAATGTTCTATAGAGGGTACGTGCGTGATTTTCCCAATTCAAAACCTTTTTTTCTTTTTCTCTCTCCAATCCAATCTTCCTTCTAAACGATTTCCTTCTATTTCTTCTGGTTTGTTAATTGGTTCTCGTAATTGGGTTTTTGTTATTTATTTTCTTTATGCCGTTAATTTCTTAATTTTCTGCTGAAGAGGCTGTTAATCTTTTGCTTATATCCAGAGGCTATGATGGTGCTTTTTGTTTTGTTGCCTAGCTTGCTGTATCTTTGATTATATTATCTGGGTGTGCTTTTTTCTTGTTTAATTTGATCTCGAGCTCTTAAAAAATTAACCATTCTGTAACTGTAGCTCTTTAGAGATGTTTACAGAAAGAAAATGATTATATTAGGAACGCAAAAGGCTGGTTTTTATTATTAATCTATGATTTAGTGATTGATGGTGGGGCAGAAGGCGGTGTCTTATTGAAATGGTTGGCCTTTTAGTATTTTGGATATACTTTGCTCAGATATATTTTCAACTATTAAAATGGGTGAATAAATCCACCTATCGATTCTTGTGAAATATTGAGGGCCGCTGTAATTTATAACATGCCGTTACTTGTACTAGTTTGGCTAATTTGATGCTTTCGAGAGGGAAGGGATTTAACTACAAGTAGGCTAAGATGGTGTCTTACAAATTTATTATTTTGATCAGTGAGGTTGAAATGGATCAAATGAATATATAGACTTATGCAGGCTGTTGTAAACAAAAGGAAGTGATATTAGAACTGCGAAATAGCATCATCTCATAATATCCTAAAGTTACATTTTGATGTTAGTTATTGTGATGTTTTAATATTTGTGAGACACCAATTATGAAATCACTGAAAGCTGGTGGCCTGGGGTTAAGATTTCACTTCCTACTTTGAAGTGACTTGCTGGGTAGAGGTTGTGAGCCTGTATCTATGATTGGAAGGCTCATTTCCACTGATCCTTTTCATGGGAATGAGGACAGAGTATGACTTAGCTCAACTTGATAGAATACCCGGGGGGCAGCTACATCATAGTGTGTTGCCTCAACCAACCACGGTATCTTACCTGCTTGAAGAAACTAAAAAAAAGGAGAGTGAGAGGGGGGGCACAAGAGCTTTACGCAAAATTTCAATACACACAAGGGGTGACCAAGCTTTGTTTAGAAAAACATATTTTAAGCAAATATTGCTTTTAGAAACACCCCCCCCCCCCCCCCACCCCCCAGAAAAAAAAAAGGAAAGTGAAAAAAGAAGAAAAAAACAGTTGTGCTTTTAAAGAACAACAATACTAAACAGGCATTTAGTAGTCCATTTTATTTTGTCGAGTATTCACCATCAAGGATGTAAAATATCCTTTTAAAAAAAAAAAACAAGGAAAAATGTGTTTGTATGACAATTTAAATCTACAAATCATGCAAGTTCAACCTAGCACATACAACTCACCGTTGCATTTCCAATGGACTTGAGATTCTAATTTATGTGCATCCCTCTATTTAAAGGGAGGTTGTAGACCATACTTTTTTTTTATTTCCTATCTTGCTTGATTTCTTATTCTTTTGGTAGGTCAAGTAGAACATAGTTCAATCATATAGTAATTTTGGAATCCCAGACAGCTTAAGGATGAGAATCCAGTTAGTTTATTTGGGGGCACTAGTCTAAGCTTATGGATAGAATAAATGCTAACATGCAAGGAAATGAGTAAGATTTGGGAGTGGAGTATCTTTTAGTGGAACCCTGAATTTGAAACCTATCATGTGGTTTCTAAGGTAAGTTTAGGTCCTAAAAGTCATAATTTCAGATTTCTAATTGAAGGTTTCCAATAATTTTATTGTCCAGTAACTTGATCTCACTCGCTTCTTGAGAAGCTAAACCAAGCTCTTCTAATTGTTCATGCATCTCATTGTTTCGTCAATCCTCAGACAGCCCAAATTGGTAATATGCCCATTAGTTAAAAAAGAACATTAATAAGCATGTTCCACTTAAAAATTCTAATTGGTTTTCTTGAAGAAAATTTAAACTGAGGCTGACCGAGTTGATAAGCACTAGAGATGTTCTGAATGCATTAAGACCAGCAAACAAATCATTCAGTTACACTGAGACGACATAAATAACTTTGAACTTTTTAGCATCTGGAATTCTTGTGTTCATTCAAGGCTCTGGGATGCCAATTTTATTTCTTGCCTTGGAATTTTTTATATATGTGTGTGTTTTTAATTTTTCTTAATTGATAAAAGAATATCAACCTTTAAGGAACTAAAGCATAAATT